TTGAACGGGCGTAAGGGTGACCAGGATTTCACGTATGTAAAGAATGGTGCGTCAGTGGTTGACTATGTTGTAGCTGCGCATGAACAATTGTCGTATTTTCAGTGTTTTGATGTTATTCGTATGTCATCCTTGATTAACCCCACAAACGTCCCTGACGCTGTCCCAGATCATTCTGTTTTAACTTGGCAAATATCACTGCCCTCCACTGTCAGTCCGGTTAACAACCCCCCCGATACAGTCGAGTTACCAGCTCAGCCCCGAAGATACAGGCAGGATAGGATACCAGAATATTTTCTACGCCATCCCGACTCACTCGATAGACTTAATGAGGCAATAAAGAATATTGAGACTGAATTGTCCAATAAAAACAACGTTAATGCAGCTTATTATGAATTTGTAACTTTCATGCATCACGAACTTGATAAAACGGTTGGTCGGTCGGTCCTTCAAGGAAAGTGTAGAAACAATAAGGGTAAATCGTTTTACAAGCCTTATTGGTGTCAAGAACTCCAAGAGCTGTGGGACGTGTCGTGCGCAGCTGAACGCCAGTGGTTGAGATGTAAATCGCCTGTTGGAAAAAAAGACTTGAAAAAATCATTTGTAGCAGCGCGAAAATCTTTTGACCGAACACTACGGAAACTTAAGCGCTCTTACCGGGCTACCGAACAACAGCGACTACTTGATAAGTACAACAGTAAAAATTCAAGGGATTTCTGGAGAACTATTGGGAAGATTGGAGTGGCAAACGACAGGGACACCAGCATTCCATGGGAAGTTCATTCCGGAGATAGCATATCTACAGACAAGCATGTTGTGTTAAATACGTGGAAGGTCAACTACAGCGAGCTGTTTGTAGCCGACACAAACTCTAAGTTTGATGAAAGACATTTCAAGAACATTTCTGAAGAACTGTTTCATGATAACGTAGTCATCGATGCTGTCTTCGACAAATCCAGTTTGAACGCTCCGATTACATCTGTAGAAGTCGAGAATGCAGTGTCAAGAACAAAATTCGGAAAAGCCACTGGTGGTGACTCCATACCAGCCGAAGCTCTTAAAAACGGAAGTTGCATCGAGATTCTTCTGAAGCTATTCAGGTACTGTTTTGAAAATAGAACCTGTCCTGACCTGTGGAAGCGTAGTATAATTCATCCGTTGAAGAAACCGAATAACGATCCCAGGGACCCGTTAGGCTATCGAGGTATTTCGCTTTTGTCGGTACCATGCAAGATCTACGCTGATATACTTAACAATAGACTTTCCAGTTGGTTAGAAGAAAACAACGTCTTGGCAGAGGAACAGAATGGCTTCCGTAAAAAGAGAGGTACTCAAGAGCATTTATTAACGCTGTATTCAACCTTGCATAACAGAAAACTGTCCAAACAATCCACATTCGTCTGTTTTATAGATGCCATGAAAGCGTTCGACAAAGTGAACAGAGACTGCCTATGGTACAAACTCCGTAAACTAGGAATAGACGGAAAATTCTATGAAGCTGTTACGTCCATGTATGAAAACACTACAGGACAAGTCCGCGTCAATGGATATTTAACAGACCTGTTTAATGTTAACACCGGGGTGAGACAAGGTTGCGTCCTGTCACCTACGCTCTTTGCAGTTTTTATTAACGACCTGGCCAGTGAAATAACTCTCTTCAATGTGGCGTCAGTGTTGGCGACTCGATGTTAAGTATACTCCTCTACGCAGACGATATTGCTTTGATTGCTCCAAACGAAGCCAGTTTACAACGTATGATGGACGTCGTCGCAAGGTGGTGCTCTAAGTGGCGTCTGCTGATAAACATCGACAAGACGAAGGTGGTTCACTTCCGACCAACAGGTGTGGAAAAGTCGAGCGCGTCGTTTGTTATTGGCACGGAAAAGATCAGTTTTGCCCACGCTTATAAGTATTTGGGATTGTGGTTTCAAGAACTCTTGGATCTAAATTATTGTGCTAAGGAACTTGCGAAGTCGGCAAATAGAGCTTTGGGAGTTCTCATTTGTAAATTCAAAGCGGTAGGAGGCATGGCGTATGATGTCTTCAACACATTGTACAGTAATTTGGTGCAACCAATTTTATCTTACGGCTCTGCGATCTGGGGTTTAAGAGAATTTAGATGCATTAATAATGTTTTACACCGCGCCTGCAGATTTTTCTTGGGCGTCGGAAATAAAACTCCCAACCTAGCTGTTCGTGGCGAGATGGGCTGGCTTTCGTCGATAACTCTTCAAAACTTAGAAACATTACGACTGTGGAAGAAAATAATATCTCTTGAATCTGATCGAAAGATTACTGTGATAGTGAACTGGTCTAAACGCTTCCGGAAATCATGGGTAAATTCTGCTGTGTCTTTGTTGAAAAGGTTTGATTCAAGTAATCTGGACATGTATAATATTGCTGAAAATGATTTCAAAGTTCTTAAGGACCGTATCATTGCCGCCGACGCTGACTCTTGGTGGGTGGATCTATGGAATGACAGGGGATTAACCAATGGGAACAAACTGCGGACCTACAGGCTATTCAAGGCATCCGCACACGTCGAGTCTTATGTCCGGAATATTCTGAACAGACAACAGCGTAGTGTTCTTGCAAAATTGAGATGTGCGACTTTACCTTTAGAAATTGAGCTCGGCAGATTCCGGCGACCGATTACCCCACTTAATGACCGTATATGTCAGTTCTGTGATGAACATCAAGTTGAAGACGAGACCCATTTCCTGATCAACTGTACCCTTTTCTCTGATATCCGCTACGACCTATGGAGAAAAGCCTGCATTGCCAATTCACAGTTTCTGAGTTTCCACCCTTGTGATCAACTTCGCTTCCTTATGCAGTGTGTCAGCTTGTGTAAACCTCTGGCCGCAACAGTGACGTCAATGTTTCTCCGGCGACAACGTGCCGGGCAGTGATGTATATAATGTGTATGTTTTTGTGAGTGATAGATGAGTATGTGGGTAGTGTTTGTATGTGATGTATGCGCACGTGATATTGAGTGGATGTGGTACACTGTATGTGTGATTGAAAATGAAATGCGTGTAATATTTATGTGTGTGTGTGTGTGTGCGTGCGTGCGTGTGTGTGTGCGTGCGTGCGTGCGTGTGTGTGTACTTTCGATTATGTTCGTGTATTATTCTTGCCAATTTATATAATGGATAATTTAATGATTTTAAGTGCCTCATAGATCCTTCATGGGTCGGCTGATGTTTTTATCAATCATACGTATGTATACGTGTAATGTTTTTTACTGTTTTTAAACACCAGGTGGCACTATAATAAAATAATTTTCTTCTTCTTCTTCTTCTTCATGTATCTAAGTGTACGTCACAAGCCCCGCTAATCCTCTCCAGCTGGTCGTTTCAAAGCTTTAATCCTTAGATACAACATGCTAATTAAACACATGGCGACTTCCAAGCAACAATGATTAAATGTTTATTTGAACAGGTGCATTTACGCCATGGTAAGCCATGTATTGCCCTCACAACATCTGCCAATTTATACATTTTGTTGAGCGCAACAATTTATGTACAATTGTATAGTTTTTGGAATTGAAAAACGCGAAAACTGGAAGAGAAATTGACGGAATATTGTTTAAAGGTCAATAGAAAACAATTCCTACACGAAATACATTCAACATGATCACTCATGGTGTGGCGGACATCCATATCTCCCAACATGTAATAATAACAATATTAGACAAATATATGGGTGACTAATTTGCGCCTGATTGGAGGGAGCAGGTGGTGGTTAACACCGCCCAGGCGATAGGTCAATTAGCACATTAACAATTAATACTCCAGACAATGGTCACACGCGGCAAAGTTCAGTGTCAATAGAACACCGCTACTGTAATGAATTCTCTGGAGTTTCATGACAACGAGCACCTATATACACGATACTCACGACGAAACATTTTATCAAATTTCACGAAAATGACCCTTCAGGCAATAAAACATATTCTAAATTAGTGGTGACATCATGATAGAGACCCAGAAGTTCTGAACCTCTTTAGTACGGGGACAAACAACGCCATTATTAAGAACTTCAAAACCACCTGATCTATCTGAATATTCCACCACTACCGGTACTCTGACTTCAACAGATCACTTATAGAAGTAAGAAAATAATATTTATAAATAAAATCTATCAACTTACGGGAACGATGTTTAACCTTTAACTACAGGTAAAAGGGTATTTATCCTTGGGGTCATACCCTTTATCCTTGGGGTATAAAGAAACCCTTAACGTCGTACACACAGAGCATATAGTACAACTGTAATTTGTTCCCAATAGTAGTCTCACAGTCCAGAGCATCAGCATCAGGTCAATCAGGCTGTCTTTCCACTGGGCCCACCCACCGTGTTACATGGGAACACCGTGTTAATGGACGTTCGGTTTAATAAATTAGCAGTTTTGTAATTAACATTCTCTTTCTTCTTCTTTCTTAAAATATGTAAATTCAAACGCATGGTTCAAGAAACAATTGATATACATTATTAATAGGAATAGGTTCGAGATATCGGTACGTTCGAGATAATGAGGTTCGACTTATATTGTTTGGCAAAAACCATTTCCAATTAAATCTATAGATTCTTGTCTATAGAGTAGAGTATTTAAAAAGAGTATTTAAAAGTTGGTCGAACATGAATACATGACACTCTTTGACGGATAACCGTGTTATAATTCTTTGTAACACTGTTTACATCTGGCACCGCCATCATGTGAACGATGAGGGGAGATCTGGTAGCGGGACAGGAAGTAGCCCTGAAACGTCGTTACCAAGAATATAGCAAATGTTTTCCAGAAACCAGTGTCATGTATTCATCTATTGAGTCGTGTTTGTCAGGCTTAACTGTGAATTCGACAAGTCGTTTAATTATTTAGTCTGATTGGCAAGAAAGTCACAATAGGATTACATGGGTGACAATTAGGGTCATTAGCAGCCTACGTACTCTTACCAGACCGCTATGTGGGGACAGTGTATATAAGGGTCTCGAACTCTTTCCCTGGCACCGCATGCATTCACTACAATCATGTTGAGGCAAGTCATCCTGTGTGTGTCTGTAGCGTGCCTGTCCGTGGCCAGCCCTGTAGGCCAGGGGTCAACTCCATCGCCGGTAAGTACAGTCTCTCACATGTGCATATTTAATGCCAAATCGGCGTTTGTGGTCTTTTTGGAGTTGTCATATTTAAGTATTCTCTATAAACATAAATAGCAGATAGACTATGTGTGTAACGAGAGGTTGCTTCCCAACGTGTATTGTAGAACTTGTGAATCTGCCTTGTAACTAACACCATTAAAACATGCATACCATATAGTTAATATGAGAGTAGCGTTGTGGGTGGACTCCCCTTCCCGCTCTATGGATGGACAGGATGTATCAACATCCAGCTGTATCAGGAAGCATCACATGCAAATACTAACAAAACATGAGCCGTGTTTCCGCTGCCTCATCCGCCAGGCAGCTTCTCATCCCCCCAAGTGACCTTACAGGCACGTACAGCCTAGACTCGTCAAACAATCTACATTGCATTGTTTCTTAATATGTTTTCGATAAAGGGATATATTCTTTACTTCATATAACAATCTTGTGATTTTTCAGGATATGGGAAAGCCAATAAAACGTAAGTACACGTGCTGCTGCATGAAGGATTAATAGCGACCTCGAGTGCAAGAGTCTCGACTTCGTCGTGAAACCGTTCCAGCTCTATGTCAATTAGGAGATAAACCTACTGTGTTTTGAAATTTGATGTAGTATTATAATCCGATCGTTCCCTCAGGATCAGTCAATTACTGTAACGAATTAGACTACCGCTTTTTATTATGTGTTGATAAACGCTAAAATACCCATAATACCCTAAATAATGATCGTTTATCCCATAATTTCAGTACGGGATCAGGAGGGTCCCGATTAGTCATTTTAATTGATGAAATAATAGCGTAGTTTATATACTTGCCGTTAATGAGATCCGGATTAGTTAAACATCGGTTTTGACATTGGATGTAGATATATCACCCGTTTACTTCTGCCAGACATAGAATCTCACAGGTTGGGTACACCCCGGCATAATCATCCATGTCTGTCTTGCAGCTTTATCAGCCGAGGATTTTGTGAAAGGTGTCACTTCGATCATGAGCAGAGCAGACGACCTCATGGAAGACATTGAGCTCCTGAAGGAGGCCGTGGCTGAGGATGTAGAGGAGAAAGGTAAGTTTGGTTTGTTGTTTAACGCCGCACTCAGCAATAATCCAGCTATATGTCGGCGGTCTGTAAATAATCAAGTCTGGACCAGACAATCAAGTGCTTGACATGATGAGCATCGATCCACGCAATTGGGATCGATGACATGCATCAACCAAGTCAGCGAGCCTGACCACCCGATCCAGTTAGTCGCCTCTTACGACAAGCATAGTCGCCTTTTATGGCAAGCATGGGTTGCTGAAGATCTATTCTACCCTGGATCTGCACGGGTTGAGAAAGGTAAGGGAAGATGCAGAGTACGGGGTCTTGTCCAACAGTTCTGACTGTAGTACCAAAGTATATACACCAAAGTGTAAGGCCCGCCACAAACAAAACAAGCCGTATGATGATAAAACACCTGTCTCATAGAACTGAACTGACAAAGACGTGCATGTTGGCATCAGAATATCTACTGGGAACATGAACCGAAAGTAACCCTTCAGTTCTTGAAACAATGGGCGGCCTGCGTAAAAAGTGTAGGATACAAGAGAATGAATGAGTGAGGTTTTACGCCGCTTTTAGCAATATTCCAGCAATATCACGGTGGGACACACCACAAATGCGCTTCACACATTGTAACCATGTCGGGAATGGAACCCGGGTCTTCGGTGTGACGAGCGAACGCTTTAACCACTAGGCTACCCGACCGCCAAGGTTACCAGACAGCCGCGGTCTTGAGACTAGGATATGTGCTACTCCAGGACACACAACTCACTCAAGTCATTAGACTTAACAACACATCTTGATTTATAAAACAAACGGTGTTTTTACCTGCGAGAAACCTGTAACGAGACCGCCATTTTGCATCTTTTTTTCAGATTGGAAAGAGGTCGCGCGAGGCATTGGGAAGATGATGAAGAAGACGCAGGGCATGTTCACCGAGACGCTGTTCGGAGTTGCGGATGCTTTAAAGCGTTTGTTTGTGGGAGACCATGGATTCAAGCACGTGACGCGTTGCAACAGACTGACCGAGAGCGTTCAAGATCCAGGTAATCTTCCTCAGGCTTGTATAGTTACAGTAACATAGTGTCAATTTTAACTGCAACCTTTGCATGTGACGTAAGCATGTAGATCAATCTTGAATGTTCTTTTAAACATGATTCTCCGGAGGCCCACTCGTCTTAGGCGTTGCAAATTGCTGTGAAAGAAACCTATGATAATGGGTTCGAATCAAGGTGCGCCTCCATTCTAATTCTTAGTTTGCCAACACCATACCCGTGCTCTACCCACACTACGGCGGCCTCTAAACAACGGAGTAGGCACCGTTTCTATGACCACTAACTACGAGAACCAGTGCTTCTTCTGTGTCATAACACTTGACCGTATATTTTTTTCAGAGTTCGGCAATGAGACGTTCCTCCCCAAGTTGGAGCGGGCGATTGAGGACGATCTGACATGCACGAGTTTCCTAATAGAAGATGCGTTCAGCTGGGATGTGGAGAAGATTGCAAGTAAGACACACAGCGTGGGGTACACGCATATGTTGTAGGGCAGTTCGTGGAGGCGTTCACACTTAAACGTATCTTGGAACTCTTAAAATAAATCGTACATAAGTATACATCGTTATGTTTCCCAATACATAGTATCAGGTAGACGAGAGCAGCCCTTTGCACAATAATGTAAATACTATCTCAAATTACCTTTTATAACAAAGAAACAACCGAAAGAAATGCAACAAAAACCGAATCTCTGTTTCTACAGGTTTGCATGCGTTCGGAACACGCCAGGCAAAGGGAAAACCGTATATCTCGGAATGATATTATTTTTACATTAACACTGGAACAAGGACTGCTAGTCGAGGGCGTTTTTTCAAATGTGAAGAAAAAAGAAGAACAAACTTACTGCTAATTGTTATCTGATAAACTGATAAACATATCTTTCTATAGACAGTAGGCACCAAACCTGACCCTGTCGTGTCTATCTTTTGACGTATACAATGTCTCTGCCGCCAGGTGGGCACTACAGCGAGGAGGACGCCGTACAGGAGCTCGCCAGGACGCTGGTGGACCTCTTCCGTCTTCGCAACGATGGCATGCGTCTTCACGACGCAATCGTGACGGTTACCAAGACATACGACCTGCACGACCACTACATGAGTGGTAAGTGTGTGCGGGGATGCAGGGATAATGTTTGTTAGTTACGTCCAGTGGTATAACCACTCAGTATACTGGGTTTGGATTTACACGTATTCACGTCTTCAGTATTGGATGTTTACCTTTGACGTACCAGGATCCGAATATCATGGATTCGAATTCCAGATTCGCTCCGTTTATGATCGAGGGTTAATGTCAAACTGTGTTTCTTTAATAAATTTGCTGACGCGCCATTGTATACCCTATCTCTCCGTTTCTGTGTTGCAGCGTTGGAGAGCAAGGAGGAACTTGTGAGAGAACTGCTTCGGTCACTCACTGAAAACTAAGAGCACCTTCTTCGGCCGGACGAGAAAGAATTGGTCGCCGAGAACCTATGGACTCCTTATACATTTGTTGAATATAAACTATCATGTTTTAATAAACATTAAATTACCACATTTGTCAATGATTTTTCTTTAACCATTTTGTGTTGAACAAGCCTTATGTAACGACTGAGGCAGAAAATGTCAAATTTTGAAGCTTTACAGTATTGTTAAGAAAATTAGTTCAAATTGCTGACCTTTTAATGACAATGCTCTTGTATTCTCAAAATGCATATTTTGTTCTGGAAACGTCTTCGTTTCTGAAATTGTCAGACTGAAGGAATTGAACTTTGGCATGTATGTTTCTTCTTCTTCAACTTGTGTACACATAGCATTAGATTATAGCACACCACCCAGACGAGGAATCGGATCTAAATGTCGGCGAGAATAAAACAAACGAACAGTTTAATTAACCACATGGCGATCAGGCCGTATCCGGGACATGTAGGCACCATCACAGCTATGTGTATGACCTCAAATTCCTTGAATCGCCTGATATCCTTTCCTCGCCGTCTGTCTTCTTCCTGGAGGCCTACATTTTTAGCAAAATTGTTGAACTTCTGTTTAATTGTGATGAAGGCATCGTCCTTGCAAACCACAAAAAGCCATACCGACTAAATGTCACGAAATATATACCAAAATAATAAATTTTGTTATGCATGGCAGCTAGTAAAGTTCAACACAATGTTGAAATCGAAGTCAGTGGCTGTTATACAAGATGTGACACTTCCTATTAATATACAACAAATTGGTTAGGAAAGAATACGTTTTCGGAATTTGTTCTAATGAACTGAACATTAATGTGACCATGGCGTCAGCCAAGATCTTCAAGGCGTGCGGTAGCTGCTAATATGTAAACCTTTACAAAGATGTAATTTACACATAGGTTATCTTGGTGGTCAGCTTCCCTGACTGCTGTAACTCAAACACATGGGGTGAATATAAATCACAATTAATTGCATGATGATAGTCTGAATATGCATCAGTTTATGAATATTCTGGTCTGGAGTCATGTGAAACGGGTGCACTGATTTGAATCGAAGTCAACTCAGTCATATTGTTTGGGTTGAAGAAGGATAATCTATGTGGACTGCATTTGGTTGTCAGTTCCGGCAGTTTCGGCCAGGAGGGGGAAAGCAGACATGCCGTTTCTCTGGTTGCAGAACTTAAGGCTTTGTGGTGATGTGGGAGAAGGCCCTGATGCTAATGAGGAAATAAGTCCCGGTGTTCACTTGAGACTCTGCGTAAATCTTGTTTCATTTATAGTTTGGAAAAGTAACGCAAAGGGCCTTGTTGGCATACGTTTCAGGCACGTCAGTGGGGACAGCGTGCTCCCAGCCTCGCCTAGGGGCAGGTTGTTCCAACTAGAACTGAATAAAAGTTCTTCTCCTATAGAAAATAGAGGCAATTTGTAATCATAGATCAAGGAACCTGTAAGTGGGGAGATTTTCTGGTGGATGAACCCGGATCGACCTACTCAGTTACAGGGTCCTAACAACCCCAGGCCTCGAGATAAGACTTAGATGGCCCAAGATGGGGAGATGCCCACATGTCTTAGCGACTTTGTTTGCATTACTCGTTTGGCAAATGGATGAAACAGGTTTTTGTACATGTCCAAGCCAACAGAGTGTGTAGTTGTTCACGTGGTGAGGAGTGGAGTCACTTACCCTGAACCAGATCACCAGGGATGTACAGGCAGATTGAACCTCTGTTCCTCTTTTGGCCAGATGCCTTTCAGAAAAAGTGGAGACAGATTCAGGGTGTCGCCTAAATATGTCGAAAGCAAGGCGCTTCAGATTTACATCATGTCAGTGTCCAGATGATGACTATCGGCACAATTAGTGTTTTTCATAACAAAGACGTCAGATCTGTTATTTGCCAAGGCCAGTCTCTACGTGTGAATCAACCATTAAGATACATCGACAATTCAATAACATCGATTGAGATGCATTTTATGTCCCGGACAAGGTTTTTATGCGACTCCAGAGCTGCAACATGAGAAGACAGTTAACAAGGCTTTGGGGTGGAAAGCAACTCCTCAATATTACCGCTTTGCAATTGTATAAGAGGTTCCCTCCCCATACTGAGCAAAGACCATAGACATTCTCACCGCTCATGTAGTGGTCATGCAGGTCGTGTTTTTTGGACGCCTCCTCAACTGCATCCTGAAGACGTATACCGTCGTTGTGTAGCAGTAGTCTGGCGCGGTCCTGCACGGCAACCTCCTGGCTGTGGCGTCCCCCTACAGACGGAGACATCGTATACATCAACTGTTTTACTTTGATGGTTTTGAAAATAATAATCGAGGATTATATTTTGTGAGTCCTTTCGCGAACTTTGACAGACCATTGATATGACTAACAAGAAGTCGGCATTAGCAAATCAGAGAGCAGTTTCTCGGGCTATACGGCACTGGTTTCAAACTGGTGACTACGCTTTGAAAAATATTTTGACATAGATCTCAATAAAAAAATTGAAAACTAAACAAAACATAATTCTGGAATGTGTAATAGATGTCGAGATTGTTTGGTAGTGCTTCCGACGTGCAAAGTCTCTAATGTTTCATTCAAACGCTGTAGAATATTGTCTGATTAGTATATTCGTTTACATTTTAAATACTTTTTACATAACTTCTTTGAGATAAATATGTAACTACATCCCAATCAACTCAACTGTATAAACACTGTCAACCTGTTTATACGCTTGTCAACCATACAGAACAGAACAGAACAGATGGTTTATTTACAAAAAACACACAAAGTGATATTGTGAAAATACAGCTATTTACATTTTCATTTCATACATATACATTTGTTGAGACAGCTAAGATAGGGGTAGACATTTGTTTTTAAAATGTAGCAATCTTACATAATATGGGGACGTAATCAGACATTAGTAACTTCGAAACCTTTTCAATACTTGGAAACGTAATAAAGTAATTTGGAATGTACAAGACACGATCTTCGTTTAGAATAGGACAAACGAGCATAAAATGATACTCGTCACATACAGTTTATAAGTTACATAAAGGACAGAGTCTATATTCAGTAGGAATATTTTGCCTGCGACCAGTTTCTATTGTGAGCCTATGATTTGTAGATCTAATTTTAGTTAATCATCGTAGATTAAATGGAACGTTCAACAGATAGGGTTCAGTTTTCAGCTTTTCTTTCCACCGATGATATTTTCCTTTTGTAGAATTTCAAATTTTGTTTGGATTGTCGAAATTGATCAATTAATACAAGTTTTACATTATTTTTAAGCCAGTTTGCATTCGGAAAATTTTGATTTGACCATGTAGGAAAAGCCAGTTTCATTTAAAATATTTTTAACATTTTCTAAAAGAAGAAAATCAGCATTCATATCAGACGACAATTTATACATAGTGCAATATAACATATAAGACAACTTATCTACATTGGTAGGTAATTTAGTCCAGAAGTTTACAGCTGTAACCTTGACTAAAATTTCTATCGGATATCTACCACGTTCCCCATAGATGTAATTCTGGGGTCGATTGCTTGAGATATATTTACATATTTCAAATGTAACAGTTCAAAGATAAACGTATTTTCATATCCCAAAATTTCTGACCCGTAGAATTATACTGGTTGTATAAGCTGATCAAATAATTTTCCATCAACATTTATATCTAATTGTCTAATAATTTTTCAGAAAATATTGCTCAAGTAGTCTGATCTGCAATTCGCTCAACTGCTTTACAAAATGGTCCATTCCAACTAAATAATACTCCAAGATAAAGATATGCCTTGACAGTTTCAATTTCTCCCCCCCCCCCCCCCCCCCCCCCCCACACACACACCCCAACAAACAAAAAAAAACACAAAAAATCTATAATGTTTCCGGACATATCCCTCACAACATATTTATGTTAACTTTAAGTTTCCATGTATTACAGTAAACTGCGAAAATATCTAAAGCCATTGTAAATCTTCTGAGGTTTCTGTCAAACGGTGCAGTCGTCAGCGTACAAAAGTTTCAGAAGTTCAACAAATATTCCTAACTGTTGTTTAATAAGACACTGCATTGACCGTGTACCTGGTTGTGACATAAAAAATCTTCCAGGTTGTTGAGATATAACGCGAATGAAAACGGTGACAGATTTCCCCCGTGCCTAACCCCAGTTTCACAGGGAAAGAATGAAGTAGTAGAATCATTTAATTTTACACAAGACTTAATTTGTTTGTACATATTGTAGATTATAGTGAAACTTTATTACTAATTTTACTGTTAATCATTTTCATCCAGAGACAATTTCTCCAAACAGTATCAAATGCTTTACTAACATCAAGAAACGAACAAAACAATTTCTTTCCTGTGCTATTAAAAATGTCAATTAAGGCATTTAGAACATAGACGTGATCAATTGTTGAATAAGATTTTCTAAAGCCTGCCTGTAAGTTACTAATAAGCCCAACAGAGTCAGAAGAAACGTGTAATCTTTGTGATATCATTGACGTAAAGAGCTTGCCCATGCAACTTACAATTGTTATGCCTCGATAGTTTTCCGGATTTGATGGACTGCCTTTGTTTTTATAAATATGTGTTATATAAGCAATCAGCCAGGACTCTGGAAGGACCCCATTTTTAAAAAAAAGAAACATTGTTAAACAATCTTACATAAACAGGTAACAAGACATTCAGCGTTGACTGTAAGTATTAATTGTATATACAATCGACACCACAAGCTTTGTTACCATGCATTAACTGCACGCTATATTTCTTTATCCGTAATTGGATTTTTTAATATTTCACATGAAGGTACACTTTCTGTTTAAAAGTTTGTGTCAACATAATCGTCATTGTCACAAGTATTGAGTTCTTGAAAATAGTCAAGTAGCTCATTTAGGCCAACATCACATTTATCTTTGCTTTTATTAATACTTTTAACAATGCCCCCGAAAGATTTAGGATCAGATTTATTAGCTTTACGTATTTTGTCTGAACATTGTTTTTATAGATAGAGTTAGCCGCTTTTAGACTTTTACTAAAGGTCTGCAAGATTAAGCAAACTATGTTTTTCCGAAATTTCGTTTACATTTA